TAAGTAGTAGATACAATTAATATTATAAAATAAATATTGATACTTAAAATAAAATATTGATACTTACATGGTAAAATAGCCAATACACTTTTCACTTTACACACGACGACGCGACCCCACTCCGCGACAGAACATCCCGAAAGAAAATCCGAAACAACGCGAAGAACTCTCTACTACCTGATATGACCGTTTAAAAAAGTTGGTCTCAACCACTAGATACTGAAATGATATTAATGTGAAAGTGGCATAAAGGCTGTTATTGCTTATTCACACTTACAACAACAAGTTAAAAATAACTTTTGATTTCCATAGATGGTAGAATGTATTGCATAAAAACTAATTGACATTAATAGAATTTATTAAATACAGGTGCCTACGCAATATTGCTAATTTTATTAAGATATAAAATTAATTACTTAATATCATTGGATGCGTCTGCAATAACTTATTACACTTAAAGAAATTAAAGCCAAATCAGGGACAAAAAATAGTTTAATATCGCAAACAACACCTAGCGTTTCAGGCTTCCATAGGGTAGGTTGTTAGTTAATTATTCCTTTTTTTTATTTTCTTTTAATGTGAAATCTGTATATCAGTAGGTAGTTTTTAACTATTTATTTCATTTACTACTTTACGTATTCATAATTATGCTGTTGTTTGTTTTGTTTCTATATATTAACTTAAATATTAGGAAACGGAGAAGATTTATAAAATACACAAACATAACAGGGAAATGTTTAAGAAAAACTTATTATCAACGTTTCCCTAATCAAACAATTAATACAACAAACAATAACAATCTTCAAAAACTTTATAGTAAACTTCAGCTATACAAATACATTGTATATAATTCCCCCTTTTTTAATTTATTTCCACCGGCAGCTCATTTATTAATATATAAACCTAAAATTGATTTATACATAGTATGGTTTGAAAAAGCCACAGCGTGGTGAAACCATTCTAGCATCGATAAAGAGTGCGGAACGACCGTTCACACGGTTGACGCATACGTGACTAAAACAACATAGGAATACATATATTTTCGTGAAATATTTGTACAAAAAAGTTCCCAGATCTTACAAAAACGTAAGTATCGTGTGTATATAGTCGTAAATGGTATCACATGAAATGTACAAGCGTCTATATCTGTCAATGCAATACTTTTTTTAACTTGCAATTATATAAAACAGTGATACAATTAATAGAACTCCGTCCACAGGCAATCCTAGAATATTTTTAACTACTACACTAACGTGAATTAAAAAAAAACCAATGCCAAATACTATATTATGTGCTAGTTGATACAAAAAATATTTTGTGTAGGTACTATTGAAAAAAGAATTCTTGAAAATAGTTTTATTAAAATAATGATATATTAACAATTATTTTACAAATAATTATAAAAAAATAATATACATAATTTGCGTGGTATGTTGTTGTATCAAGATACATATTTACAATTTAATACACTGTACATTAAGAACAAATTATGTAATTATTTTAGTTCTATATATTGTAGTATACCAAATCGTGAAATTCAACAATTTTTTTTTATTTTAGATAATTTATGTTTCAAACTTAAAAATAATTGTGCTGCAAATATGTAGGAATATTCAAAGACATTTTTTCCTCAAAACTGAAAAATACTGTTACAAGATTGCAAATGCTTAGTACCTTGGGCATACAGAGCTAACAATATTATAAATTGTATTTGGTTAAAAATTAAACTAAAGTAACAGTAAGTATGCATAGGTATTCTTATGATTTCAAAAAAGAGTTTGAATTTTTTAAACAAATGTTTAACAGTTGTACCTAATTAAGTCAAATAATAATTATTTTTATGACTGCCATAATGAATGTGATAATACTAGAAAATATCTTTCTAATTTAATAGTATTGCTTTTCGATAAATATTTTGTTATTATTTTTGCTGGCATCATTCAATAGTAGAAAGATCCCTCAAACAAAAAAAAAACAACAATATGTACTATAAATTACAAAGGTAATTAAAGAAGAATATCTTCTGGGGGTTATGTATTGATTAATACGTCCCCACAAAAGAAACATCACTTCTGATGTAACTGGTAAATTTAAATTCCATACAGAAGTTTTTAAATCACAATAAATTAATTGTAAGCTACAGGAGGATTCTGATAAAAATAAATAAATCTGTTTAGGAAGAAAGTTAAAATAAATTCCTAATAAAATATATATATATTTATTCAGTGTTTTATATCCTGGTTCTTTTTAGTATAATAGATTAGATAGACAAAAGATAATTTTAGTTTTTTTTAAGTGACTGTCACACTATTTTTTCAATACAATTTTTTCATACAATATAAATATGTGAATAATTAGCATTATTTGTTATAGAACAGCTATGTAAAATTATTACCAAATTAACAAAAAATCAAAAATAATATCACTTTTTAAACTTTGTGAAAATTAAAAAGACGCATAAAATTGGAGCATTTGGAGCATTTGGCTTAGCAGATACATCTATATTACTTAACTTATCTACACATTCAAATTTAAGAAACATTAACATTCAAACATAAAAGAAGAAAAGCACTTTAGAAGCCTCCTGCAGAAAATGAGACATTCATTCGCTTAGTTTTTGATTGCAGTCTTTTAATGTTCGTATTAGAAAATTATAATAAAGATATTAAGTAATTCTAAACTTTTAGCATCACAATTCGTCGGGAATATGTCTTTTTTGTTCTTTAGAACTCTTTTTTGTTTTACTACTCTCCTCTGAATTATCAGAAGACGACAACTGCTCTGCGGAGAGAATTACTTTGTCATTTTCCTCTTTTACCTTTCCAATTACCAAATCGTCGGAACCTTTTTCTATTTCTTCCCTAACTTTTATTTCTATCTCACTGATAGTGTCCAATAGAGAACTTAGCGTCTCCAGCTTTCCCAATTTGTCTGTCAATACATCCATGTTACTACTATCACCTACCGACTTGTCACTATTTACCTCTCGCGCCTATTAGGAACACCAAATATTTTATATCATATTTTCATAAATGAGTAAGTAGTAGATACACAGATTAACAATACGGTAAAATATGGATTTATCGTTGTGATTTTTTATCTTATTTGCTATTGACCGAACTGTCTGTACGACTGGGCTAGACTAGGCTAATTTAATTCACGTTTGGGACTAAATTGTCTTCATACAAAATGAAACACAGTCGACGCTCAGTAGTGTGAACTGAAACGTTACCGACATTTCGCCTTAACGAACGTTATCTTTAAAATGTAACAAAAATCTATAATTAACACAAGAAACATACAAAACAAGATGTGCGATATCATGAGACATCCGTTTTAAAATGACTCCTATTGGATATATTCATCAAATAGCAGACTAGTCGAATCTACCTCTACCTCATCAGGTCTTTCTCTCTTTAAGTACTAAGTAAGGAGGAAAGAAATGTAGAAAAGTAAAAACAAAATTAATTCATTCTTCAATAAGTGATAATTAAATAATTTGAGAAACGTTTTTTAAATATTTTTGGGAAAAATTATCGTATCGACCTGTCTTTTAATAAGTATGTATCAGTGCAGAGGTAGGGAACTTTTTTTACTACTGACATTAAGAAGTAACAAAGGAGGCAACATATACTGATATACCTACTGAAGTGACTGTAGTTTTGTACACTTTTATCAATTCCAGATGACAAACTTCAAGCTATGAAAGAGCACTAGAGCTACAGCACTGCAACATTGTGTTCCAGTTATGCTCAGAAGATGGCAACATATTGTTTACCTAATTCTTTTAATTTTCAAATTGTGATCATTAAATATTAATTCGTACCATTACTAATTTTCATGAAAGTCGCATAAAAACTTACAACATCAAGACCCACTCAGGCAGATGAATATGTATATCGGGGATTTACAACAATGGCGCAACAGTAACGGAGAAATATCGATTTTTAAGGTAAATCTACATTCGTTTCTAAAACCACAGGTTTAATTTATTCTCAGTATAGAGCGATCTGATATAAAATTATATAATGCTAGTCACATTACGGGCCGTTCACACTTCTGCGAGTCTACTGTATTTAATTTGAATGCTTTTGCGACGCAAATATAGAGAGTAGAGGTAAGGAGAACTATCTCATATGGGGAAAATGTTGAAAAACAACGTTTCGCCTAGAATTCTCAGATTCTTTCAGGGTAAATTTTTTGCTAATAAATAATTAGTGGTTTCCAAATATTGCGACTCATGGTATTGGTTCATATTCATCATATTAAGTAACTACTTCACAATAAAGATAAAATAATAAATATTATACAATTAATTAAAACCACGTGGAAACACAAGAATTTTTACAATTAAAATACGTCTTTGTATCTCCATGTGATTTTAATTAATTGTATAATTACTTTATATTTACAATAGTGCTTTTAATTACTACGTTTTTAACTAGTTGTGTTATTTATTATTATTTTCTCTTTACTGTGAAGTTACTCTCAATGTTTTACACAGTCTACTTTGAAAAATCCTTAGAATGGTAGGCGAAACGTTGGTTGTTAGTGATTTAATAAAAACTTTTTGCCCGTCAAATTGAATCTGATTCCATAATCTAGTGAAAAAAAAGCATTTTCCGGAAAAGTAGTCGTCATGACGTAATCATAATATGGTTCAAAACCACACTACAGAACAAATAATTAAAATCAGACTTACCTCAATCAAGCTGTCATTATCACGACGACCGTTCTCAATGTTAAGTTCCCTCAAAAGCCATTCGGTTTGTTTGACAACATCTTTAGCATTCAATTCTTCCAAACTAGCCTGGCTGAGCGTCTGATAATATATGCGTAAAATATTCAGAGGAACATAGATTTCATTCTTCTCAGAATTATTCAAAGACTGAATCAGTCCACGTCTTATTTGGCTCCACTGTTGATTCGTTGTCACTTCTGCAACATCCAGTTCTGATTCAGGTGTCTCTCTAGTTATCCTAATTTTATCGGTTCCAATGTCGGCCTTGAATATTCCAACCCTGCATTATTTATTGCAATTGTAATAATTGTAAATATCATTGTATACAAACATTACATCATAACATGGAGATTTTAACTGCTAGCAGTAAATATGTTAATGGCACATTAGGTAAAGATAAAAAACATCTTTTAAAATATACATACATTTATGTACAACTACTTACATGGTAAAATAGCCAATACACTTTTCACTTTACACACGACGACGCGACCCCACTCCGCGACAGAACATCCCGAAAGAAAATCCGAAACAACGCGAAGAACTCTCTACTACCTGATATGACCGTTTAAAAAAGTTGGTCTCAACCACTAGATACTGAAATGATATTAATGTGAAAGTGGCATAAAGGCTGTTATTGCTTATTCACACTTACAACAACAAGTTAAAAATAACTTTTGATTTCCATAGATGGTAGAATGTATTGCATAAAAACTAATTGACATTAATAGAATTTATTAAATACAGGTGCCTACGCAATATTGCTAATTTTATTAAGATATAAAATTAATTACTTAATATCATTGGATGCGTCTGCAATAACTNAGTAGATATCCACACAAGTGGACCTTGTTGGAGCATACGTAATCCTAAAACGTAGCATCGTGCTACAGATGGCGTTTACTGCGCCATTTGTAGTATTTTCTAGAAAATTAATGTTTATCACACAAGATAATTGCATCCTGCCTCTGCATTCACAATTTTTAATACTTCATTAGAATTTATTAAGTCATTCAATATAATTATTATAAATGAATGCACTTATATAACATAAAAGAGTATGCATGTATTAACGAAATATTTAATAGTCACTCAATAATCGTTTCAACTAAATAGTCCTTATCATGACACAATTGTTGAGCGATTATTAATATTTCATTGAAACAGTAATGCTCTTTTATTTTTCTTCATAACACGTCAATAGCCAGTATTAATATTACAATGAATGAACTTACTTTACGGACTTGGAGAAAGCAATTCCCGTATGTCTGTTCAAGAACTCCTGAACGGACACTTTCAACTTCTGGAACATAGACTCCTCTTCGTTTGGGGGCCAAGTTTCCGCATCATTTTTCAACTCCCCTATGGTAACAGTTACATCAGAATCGGCCATGAGGGCAAGAAGCAATTCGGACGCGTCCTGAGAGAACAGAAAGACAAAGGGAATCTTTATATCATCAGTCCCATCCCCCGACATGGAAAACAACGGCGAACTAGTCGCGCTACTTCCCGACACATTATCGATTACTATACCCGCAACCGCGCCAGCTTTTTGCACTCTTCGCGCTTTGTCCACAAACATGCAACCACCCCTTTCGATAATCGCTATCTTGCCGCGAACATGGTCCGGGAAAGAGATCTCGGAGCAAGCGCGAAACGGTTCAACTGTTAACGCACGCGCAGTGACCTTTCGATCGCCACGCATAGTAGGTCCAAACTGCGCCGGACCCGCCTGTAATGTTACGGTACGATCCTTGCCGTCCTTATCTTTCGTTGTGAAAATTACAGCTTGAGCGGGTGATTCGGATCCACCATAGGACTGCATATGAGACAGTTCTACCATTTCCTGCATGAACAGTATTCCTTCCTCAGCGTCCGCAACTGTTCTAGCCTATAGAAAATTAAACAATATAATCTGCATGAAACTAATCAATGCCACTAAACAACCAGCACAGCTATCAGTATTTCACAATTAGCAATCTTAAAGCATTTTACACATAATTCGATTAAGATCTTATTTGGTGGTAATTACTAGGGTTCGAAAAAATATGCACTTTTGCATAACTGCATATTCTAATGTACAACTAAGGCGTTGTTTAGTTAAACCGCATATTTTGGACAATTTATGTATTATCTTTAGACCAATAAAAAATATATTCCCTCCGTTTCAACTCTTGATTTTACAACTAACACAAGATTCAAAATTTTAAAGAAAGTTAATAGAGATAAAAAATAACAATTATTTCTGATATTGACAAAAAAACACATTTATAAAAGTAATAAATAGAATAGCAATTCCTGTAAAAATATAAAGTAATTTTTCTTTGTTAATAACAACAACTTACTACGTTTGAAGTCTTTCCCTACATTTTTATGAATATGAGAAATGCTTTTTCATTTTTCTAATAGTATTAACCATCCTAAAATATATATTAGACTGGTTGGACTGGTCGCTTTTTCTTATGATTAGTAAGATAATTTTAATACAATTTAATATAATAAAAACAAACTTGACTCTGATACACAAATATCTGTTTAAAAACAAGTTTTAACTATTAGACCACTTTCTAAAAATTTTATTAAAAACTGATAAAGGGAAACAAGTACAGCAATTCGAAAGTATCATTTGCTACTTGCAGGTCTCAAGTTAACAACAGAAATTTTAAAAATTCTGTGTAACAAAATCAGGTGTTTTTATCATTTAAAATTCACTAACAATCAACCGAGTACATAATCCGTCAATTTCATTAAAATTCATTCATACATTAAGTAACTCCTAATGAGGGCATTCTGACGAATAATAAATAATAATATTTGATACATTTTCACTTCTATTTTAATAACAATCAGTATTTCTCAATTTAGAACAGAAACTATTGCAATTAACATAGAACTTACTCCAGAAACGCTGTGTAGCAATTGAACCCGTCCATCACTTAAGGCCACAATGTTAATACCCATGTCTTTGATAATTTTCAAGTGTTCCAAATTAGAAGCAGAAAATTCACCAGCGGTAAGACGACGTCTTTGTAATTTTTTTGGACATATGCCATCAACCTGTCAGTTTTTAATAATAGAAGTTTTTCAGGAAGATAAATTATAAGTAACTGAGTATGGACAGGTACAATTTTCAAGAAACTTTTAACAGAAGAAAAGTAGCAAAAATATTAAAGTGCATTAATTTTTCGCTTTCAGTAAAAGGTCATACGGCAATAAGCATAGCAAGTCAACAACCGCAAGATGTCTTGCTCATATTTTTAGAATAAGTAGAACGTAATTACATCCCTTGAAAGTTTTCAAAAGCAATTTGCTTTTGAGAAAAACAAAAATGCATTAACTATATTAATTTTGTTAAAATAATAATAGAAATAAAAACCACTAAAAAAGTATTTCGTAAATGCGACGGAAACATGCAGCAGGAAATGAGGAAGAAAAAGCACGTGCTATTTAATCGGTGCGGCCTACACTTGGCGCTTTCTTAGTGTATAAAGAGAGAGAGAACGATAGAAGAAAGAAGACACAGCAATCAACCGTTCGTTCTGCTAACCTTAGTCTTAGAGGACACGACGTACTGTCATGCAACTGTTCTAAATAAGTTGTAAAATAATTATCTATATTATACATTAAATAATTTTATAAGCACCTATTGTATTAAAGTACGTGTTACACATCATTAAAGACTACAGCATGATTTGCTCAATTTTTTGATTAAAATTAGTTCAAACGATTCGACAAAAAAATATAAATTCTAACTTTCACATTAAAGGAGGGACCTTATGCTTATCGCTCTACAGCCTTTACATAAGTTTACATTATTTAGAAATTACTATAACAATAGTTTCATTGTAATTTAAAATAAACAACAGTATTTTACTAGATAATAAATATAACTCACCATATTTGCAAGAGGCTTCCTCACTGACTCAGGAAATAATTGTAGAGTATTAGGACAGGTCCTGGAAAACTCCCGATCGTCGATTTCTTCGTCCAAGGAGTTAGTTGACCGGTTGGTCCTCACCGCTAATGTCAAAGGCAAAAGGTGACCTTCCGTGGTAAACAAGAATTCGTCCAAATTCAAAATAAGGTCATCGTCATCGGCGAATAGTAGAAAAAGATATTTAAACGTTTCGGCCAAGACGAACGAATCCATCCGGTCTTCCTGACGTCCAGTACGAACGTCATTAACGGCTGCATAACCGCAAGGCACTCTGGCGTATTTCTGAAGGCTTTTCAACACGTTTTTTCCTACTTCCAGATAATATGGGTCGTTTGTGGCTTTAAAAAGGAAATATGTTGATTCAAGGAACTCAGGTCGAAGAGGATGATTGCCCCAATGGACCTTAAAATAGAAAAACCTTTAATGAACAAAATACCAACTCCGTGACATAAATATCGTCTCAGACACGCGACACCAAAGCTGGGGGGGGGGGATATCACACCCCAACACCCCTGTCTCGACACACTCCTGGTATGAACAATATTGACTAGCATTAAAATAAACTTAAACAAATAGAGTAGATACCTGAAAATCTGTAGTGAATGCTTCTGGAATGAATTTATGACGTTGCATGACTTGATACAGCATTTCATGTGTTTCAACAGCAGGTTTAATATCACCTTTCAGCACCTGCAGTCCAGGCCAGAAAGCCAAAAGAGCATCCATATAGTTTCTGGAATTTGTGTAGGGCCTAGGCATATAGAGAATAAAGTTACAGTTTTGAGAACACTATATCTTGGGAAAAATTACATTTTGATTATATGTTTAAATCGTCAAGTAAAACAAAACAATTTTATAATTTAAATAATAAATAATAAAGTTGATTTTCATCTTCTTTACAAAACTGTTTCTGAGATAGGACTGTATCGTTTGTAATCACCATAAAAAAGAGGATCTTAACTGTAGATCATTTTTGTTCACTCGTCAATAAAACATTTACAAATGTAGATTTTTTGAATACTCAGTTTGTTTAATTGAAACTTACTCTAAAATATAGACTAGGTTTTTTCGAGTAACATTCTACTATTTATGTTTTCGTTTGTAATTTATCACTCGTTAGTCCTTGTTAATTGATTGATTTACTGTATTTCTCTACTTTTACTGTACTGCTAGAGATTGCGACTAGTCAGTCTACCACAACTTTTATATCAAATAATGTAAAAGGGAAATTTATTCCCGTATACATTATAAATAAATAAAATAAATAAATAAATTTTAATCTTCTATTAATTACTTCAATAGTCACTTTCAAAACATTCTTTTAGCATCCAGGTAAAAATTAAGAAGCAGGCTACAGACAAACTGTTCGAACTCTCCTTCAATGATTCTCCTGTTAATATTTTTTGAATGTTGCTCAATAAAATTTATTCATCTACTTTTTGAGGTAATAGACAGACCAACGCATTAAGGATTCTGTTTTTTCTTTTTAAGATACAGAACCCTAAACAAAATAAAACTAGTAACTTCAAAAATCGTCCCACATTAGAAAAGTAGTGATAAAAACTTTATTCATCACCTGTGCATGTGTACATCGAGAAGCATAGGACCTTGGGATATGTATTTCATGATGGCTTCATAGTGCCTATTAAACCTGTTCAAGTATTTTTCGTCTCCGAGTAATATATAGGCTTTAAGGCAATATTCGTAATAGGAATCAATACCAGCTCCTACACCTGAATCACGACGAACCCAATCGCCCGAGTGGACATTTAAGACGGAACCCATCAAATCGGAACTGCGATGACGCATTTTCCACAACTCATCCATAGCCCTATGGGCTTTCTCTTCAAAAATAGGCTCACCAGTTAATCGAGAAAGTGCTGCCATCTCTAGTATCATACTACCCGCGCAAGCGGTGCAAGTTTCTCTAAGGGATTCTACCCTATCATTTTTAATGCCATATTTTAAATTTATCTGCAAGTAAGAACGCTATTAAGTACATTTTTGCCACTGATTGAGCTTAACATCTCAGCCAATATAAAATTGTAATGTATGTAGTAAAACATTAGTAAATGTGGTTCTTGGTACATTCATTTTTATTTATTTTTTTTTATTACTAATACTGTTTTTGAAATGGTTTTGTATTTGTTTGAACAAACCTAAAATACTATACCACTATAATAAATGCATTTCGCAAAAAGTTTCTATTTGGCAATATCATAGAAAGCGAAATGATATGTAATGCACACATACGGTGATGAAAAAAAAGTACATAAAATAAAAATGGGCACTAAAACTGAAGTGAACCACACTAAACATATTATTTTAAGAAAAAATCTTAATTACTATAACATCAACAGAAGTAAGGACAATAAACGTAGAAGTAAAAGTAAATTTCTCCTTGAAAAAGAAAGAAAATAAATTATGATGGTAACAAAAAGAATAAACATTGGAATATATACTGGAATAATACGAATTTGTTAGAAAAAATTAGAAAGAAAACTTATAGAGGCATAAATAAAGTTATTAAAGAAATAAAAAATTTAATATAACACCATATATGTTAACAACAGAAA